CTGGGCCGTCGCAGACTCACCCAGGTCGTTCGCATGTCATATCCTTCTTAGACCATTTCCGTCATAAAGGCCCTAATGGGACGCACATCTGCATGGTTTTCGAGGTTTTGGGAGAGAATTTGTTAGGTCTGATTAGAAGGTTTCAGGTAAGGCCCCTCTCCCTCCCTCCTGGTCGTTCGTCGCTGACGTTTTTGGTGGGTACGAAGACTCGAGGTGTACCAATGCCGTTGGTGAAACAGATCGCGAAGCAGGTGCTGCTGGGGCTGGATTACATGCATCGATGTTGTGGGGTCATTCATACGGGTGAGTTGAACGACGGTTCTGGTCCCGGGTGTGCCACCTCATCGGCGTTACCCTTCCAACGATCCTTCTGTCTTAGTCGGGGCTCGTTGCCAACGGGTCTGCGTTCGTCCTACTTCCTCATCCAATATTGGTAGCCTCCCGCGGTCCTGCCTTTTGGTATCCTCCCTTTGTGTTGGCTGCTCGCCCCTCCGTTCCTTCCTCCTTTCTTCCTTCGTATCCTTTTACTAATTTTTCCTCTCTTTCTCTCTCAGACCTCAAGCCCGAGAACGTTCTCATCTCCATCGACAACGTTGAAGATATCATCCGCGCCGAACTCGCCGCCAATCCACCCGTCTACCTCTCCTCCCAAGACCAGCACCACCCTACTGTCCCACAAAACAGCAAACTCACAGGTGTACCTCCCTCCAAAGGCCGGGGTGGTAACCAAACCCCTCGTATAACCGGTAGTCAACCATTACCGAGCCCTAGCTCGAGTTATGGGAGTTTGAGGAGCTTGGTCACGGGGAGTTTGAGTAGTGCGAGTTTGAGTGCGATGACGAGCGGGAGTGCGGGGACGAGTCCGACTTCGGGAGGGTTGGCGCCTCCGACTGGGGGGATGGCGATTGATAAGTTTAGTTTTGGGATGACGCCTATTCCTGTTGCTCCAGGCGCTGCTTCGGGGAAAGGGACAGAGAAGGATGTTGCGGACGTTGCAGACGGTGTTGGGGGAGTTTCGATACGGGGAGATAGTGCTAGTGGGAGTCGGGATGGGGGCAAGGGGAAGGGAAAAGAAACAGAGGATGAGGGGGAGGGGGAGGAGGGAATTATTTTCGGGAAGAAGGGTCAGTCTGCGTCGGGGAAGGGAAAGAGTTTGTTAACGCAGCAGGCACCGGAAAAACGTGAGTGCTTTCGCACCTTCGTTACTTGGTCGCTTTCTGAACTGACTCGGGTTTTGTAACCTCTGAAGTTCCTCAAGCCTCGCAGTCTGGACAGTCACCAGCAGAAGGAGGGTCGGAGACAGAATTTTACGACTTAGCGGAGAAGATCACGGTCAAGATTGCTGACTTGGGAAACGGTACGGGTGTTAGCCTTCCGCACCACTCCGTCATCTTGCTCACAGGCTTCAATTCGTAGCGACTTGGACCGAACACCATTTTACCGACGACATCCAAACTCGTCAATATCGATGCCTTGAGGTTATACTCGGATCGAAATGGGGTACTAGCGCTGACGTTTGGAGCGTCGCCTGTGTGGTCAGTATCCGACGTATCTTCACTTTTGACCGGTGCTAAAACCTCCCCTCTAACAGATATTCGAGCTGATCACCGGAGGAGACTACCTTTTCGATCCAGCTTCGGGATCCAGGTATTCGAAAGATGACGATCATATCGCCCAGGTTCGTCGTCTTCAATCTTCGCTTCCTCCATCTCTCTTTGCTTATTCTGAACGCCTTTCCTCTCCACTAGATAATCGAACTAATGGGCCCAATTCCACCCGCAATTTCGCTCATGGGTAAATACAGCACCGAGTTCTTCAGTCGGAAAGGCGAGCTTCGACATATACAGAAACTGAGGTATTGGCCACTTGATAACGTGTTGCACGACAAGTACCTGTTCCCGCGTGACCAGGCGGAGGAGGTCGCGAGTTTCTTGAACCCGATGCTAAGAGTCGATCCGGAAAGGAGGGCGAGAGCTGGGGAAATGGTCGCTCATCGATGGTTGGAGGGAGTTGATGTCGAGGGGGAGGAGGATGTTCGGAGGCGTTTGAGGGAGATGGAGCGGGAAAGGGAGAGGAAGGAGAGAGAAGCCAGGGAGAAAGAGGAAAGGGAACAGGAGGAAGGGGAGAGATTGGAGACTGGTGTCGCTGACGAGGGCGCTGTAGAAGGACAGCGCGAGGAGGTTGATCAGATCGAGGCACAACCGGCGATCCAGGAACTTCAGGGTGGACGTGGCGAGAACTCGTCTGTGTTACAGACTGAGATGGAGGTTGAGATGGACGCGTTGAAGAATGTGGAGGATACGGATGTTGGTCAGCCTGAGGACGCACCAATGGCAGAGGAACCCAAAGAAGTACAAGTCGAGGCAGCTGCGGCTGTAACACCTGCACCCGAAGCTGAACCCTCGCCGCTTCCGACAACCACTGGACCTCCGACCACTACCTCTCATGATGAAGGCGTCGTGCTCAACCCCGGAGCCCCGTCAGATGCTTCCGCTCGTGGTGGTGGTGGAGGGAACAGAGGCGCAAGAGGTGGAAGAGGAAAAGGAAGAGGCGGCAGGGGCAAGAAATAGGACATTATCACGATATATTGCGACATAGAGCTTGTTGGCTGGTTGACTATGATTCGCTCATGATTTCTTTTGTTTTTGCTTCATTTGTTTGTGTTTCGGCTCTGTTGCTTGTACTTGGTCCAATGTCGGTCATCTCCAGGTTATCTACAGACATCCATACCTCATTTTACATGCATCGATACCACCCAGTATATGTAGCTGTAACCTCATTGTTTCGTAGTTTGCATTGCCTGGTTGTCTTTGTACTTCATATACAGTTCAAGTTGGATCTTCGGATGAACGATAACCGGGCTTTCGGTCCAATACTTCTTTGTTTGCGTACGTTCGGCGAACGGTATCATGTACACTACGTGTTTGCTGGAAAGGTAGGCTGCGGTGAAACATTAGACACACGAGGATCAAATGCACCGAGCAACGTGAGGCTAAGCCCTCCCCAATCGCAACGAGGAACCTCGGCGACTCTGGTAGTGAGTTTACCGATGTCAGGGTTGAAAATCCATACAGCACAACAGAGAGGTTGTATTGAAAACAATGATAGTACACGATATCCGAACCATTCCAAATCCTAGAAATTATCCACCCAACGCGATGACTGACACAGAAACCTGGTTCAAGGCGAGCTCCCGCCATGATCTCCATCCCGACAGGTGGTCATGTTTGAATGAGTCGGACGGCGTGTTCAAAGGCTGACGGGAACGCAGCCAATAGAGATGAGGCCACCTGGATTCATGACAAGGAGATCAGTTCAGAGTTGCGGGTCACCTTGGCACGAAAGAAAGGTTACCGTGAGAGTTGTCAGAGCAGCAGACAGGGTTGGCGGAGCTGTGTTGAAAAGAGAATGACACCGTCAGCCTCATGCAACATGGTTACGAGCGTATAAGGAAATACTAACCATCCTCCATTGCCTCCACCAATGACAGTGATGGGGCTGCAAGTCAAACCGACAGCAACGTTGAGGTCCTGAAGGACAACGCCGATGAGGGCGAGGATGGGAGTGACAATGGGGTCCTTCGCCGTGGTGGTGGTCTGGCAGCACTGGATAGGGCCAGTGTTGCAATCCGCACGAGCAGAGAGGCCCGTGGGTGTGGCGACCGCAAGGGTGGTGAAGGCAGCGAGAGTGAAAAGCTTGTTGAACATCATGGTGATAGTGAGAGTGCTTGAATAAACTACTGCAGGTGTATTCGAGTGAAGATTTGAGGAGGCAATGAGTGACCTTTTATACGTTTTGGGAGAACATACGTCGTTCGTTTGCTCCATTGGCTTTCCTATGTTTTTCCCCTGCCCTGAGGCTTTGTGTAAATTGTGACTTCGTCGTGGCAGAAACATGCATCAAGTGGAGCTGTGGCATGGGTGGGAGTGGTTGGCATTCTATTGGTCTTGTTGAGACGTAAGTGAGATGCAGGAGGACACGTCAAACGAGTGATTGCATACTGATTGAATCCATGATCTGGGCGTTTCATTTTGAGGTTTGACAGGCTTCTCGTAACATTCCTTGTTTTTGTCCACTCCCGCAATTCAATGGTTCATTGTTCCACCGGAGAGCGCAGGTCCAGAATCTGCCCAGGGAGGATGTATACACGAGTCTTGAGCTCAGTCCATCGGATGACATGGCATGTGGTCTGTTCTTGAGCGAGAAGTGCCCAGGCTATGGCAAGACCCAAGCGTCAGAAAGGCACGGTCGAACGAACGAAAGTCGAGTGATATCATCGCAGTAACCATAAGAATTACTATTTCCAGCGAGGGCGACAGTACCGCGAGCTAGTGGTTCTTCTGACGAGATAAATTATAAGACCTCAGTCCGTACAACCGCGAGATTCCGTTTCGGGCTTTGACAACGTATCAGCCTACAGGAATGGGTATATTGTGTTGCAGGATTTGCCGCGAGGTTCTGTTCATAACACGATATTCTTTGCTCCAGTGGATCCGACTCGGTGTCTTCCGCATGTAAATATGGAGTATAGGGTTGAAGATCGAGATTGGGTAGGTCAACATCCTGCTGGAGGCCTGCGTTCGTCCTGATCGAAGCAGCCATTGGGGTGGAAATTGTGATGGGTGTGGAGAGCCATGAATGGGTTCAGCTAGGTTGTGAAGTGGATAAGATCGAGACTTGGCGAAACTCTTCTAGCGATTCGCAACATTTATGTTGCTATAGCAGGTCTCAGAGAGCGTGATGGTAGCGGAGAAGAAACCGTGGGCGTTTCTGGGCTAGGCGGCTAGCCTGGGAAAGTCCTCGGTAGGAAGCTATCCCACACGGTCGTGACCTTCGGAAAGATTTGAAATATGGACCGGCAGATTGCTACTGTAACAAAGGGTATTGTCCAGCTCTACTCATACATACATACGACCAAACTCGGACGATCTTGACCGAAATTCGCGGCTGGCCATCGTCCCATCCTCGGCCTCTTTTACTCATTGGAGTCGATCCTACATGCCCGCCTAGCTCAATCGGATAGAGCGTCAGACTCTTAATGAGTCCGCAAACGGGCATCTCAATGAATCTGAAGGCTGCGAGTTCGACCCTCGCGGTGGGCTACTTTCTTTTGTTCCCTCTGACTCCATTTTTATAGACGAGTCACAAACATATCTCAATTTAGTGCTTAGCGTGTCTGAAAACCATACAGAGTATCATACACATTCCATATTGTCCGTATCAAAATCTTTCACCCCAGGTAACCATCGAAACGAGCAGTTCTGACCATGCGTTCGGAGGACGTCCGACATTCCGACGCGGGGCGAAAGGTTTGGCATCTTGTTGAGCTCAGAGGCTGACGGGAACGCAGCCAATGGAGATGAGGCCACCTAGATTCATGACAAGGAGATCAGTTCAGAGTTGCGGGTCACCTTGGCACGAAAGAAAGGTTACCGTGAGAGTTGTCAGAGCAGCAGACAGGGTTGGCGGAGCTGTATCGAAAAGAAAACGACACCGTCAACCTCATGCAACATGCTTACGAGTGTAGTGGGAAATACTAACCATCCTCCATTGCCTCCACCAATGACAGTGATGGGGCTGCAGGTCAAACCGACACCGACGTTGAGGTCCTGAAGGACGACGCCAATGAGGGCGAGAATGGGAGCGACCACGGGGTCCTTCGCCGTGGTGGTGGTCTGACAGCACTGGATAGGGCCGGTGTTGCAACCCGCACGAGCAGAGAGGCCCGTGGGTGTGGCGACCGCAAGGGTGGTGAAAGCGGCGAGAGTGAAAAGCTTGTTGAACATCATGATAATTATGAGAGAGCTTGAACAGACGACTGCAGGAGTGTTCGAGTGAGGATTTCGAGGAGATTTTGGAACCCTTTTATACTGTTTTTTGAAGGAGAAAGGTACATGTTATTTCCGTCATATGCTGCGGGTCGAAAACGTTGTGGTGGTTCGGGTGGAGCTGTGGCGCGCCAGTGAGAAGTAAGTACCAAAATCATAATAATTAAAGGTGGGGACTGTGAGAGCGATCACATTCAGTGTTACGGTAGGCTTTGACGTTTGGACTTTCTATCAAAATGCGACTCGGACATACGTTCCTTGTTGTGATGTCTAGTAGATTTCTATCACAATGCCCGAGCATTGCCCAGTCGAATGACAAGACTCGATGCGAGGGCTCGGACATGTATTCCTTGTTCAGTTCGATGTTGCAGGAATTGATTGAACTCCTTAATTTCGATTATCTTGAGATATGACGAGCCCTGCCATCATCCTCTTGTTTGATGGACATAGGTGATACCTCGAAAAGTGAGGTTCGAAAACATTGAGCCACTTCTCCTGTCGTAGTGCGGGAGGGAAACTGGGAGAGAAGCAACACATTTAGACGATTGAATGATATCATTCAAAGATACGGATCATGATGTCGATGGGTCAGGAACGCATCGTGTGTTGATGACGCCCGCAAGGCCCTAGAAATATCCCCGAGGTAGTCGATGTATGGTTGACGGATGATAATGACACCGTATTCTCGCTCGTTTCACCTAAATTCTCTCAGCAACGGAGCAGTCTGGGAGAGGAGATTTCGGCGGGAAATGGAAGAACCGGATAGGCCGCAGTGCATAGGCAAGGTAGTACATCCCAACTATATTATATATCCTTCAATCCCCCCTGGTTGGAGGCCCTAATTTAGACACGATCTTCTAATGTACAGGTTCATCAAGTCATTCCAAGTATTTGCAGGCCTCTTCAATGCGGAACGAAACTTCTCGAATCTAGCGAGAGAACATTCAAACGGCGTGTTCGGTTTGAGTGAACGAAAAAACTCACATATGAAGCGTTGAAAGGCTGGAAATGGTTTCCAGGAATGTCCCACACTCGTACTGCTCCGCTTAATTCGCTCCATCCTCTCAGTGCAGTTGAAGGATCTGAGCGGTTGCTGAGCCATTCGGGTACTTGGATCGTATTATGCGTATAGCCCTCTGTTGAGCGCAGTAAAGCAATTGGAGGGCAGGACCATGGCTGTGACCTGATCTGTTGTCGCGTATGATATGGATCATACTTCCCAAGCAAAGCCGCATTCGAGGCAAACTGGGCCTCAACCTGCCTCCGAACCCATTCAGCCGTCGGAGACGTACCGTTTTCACGCTGATTGATCGTAGACTTGACCAAAGCTGTCGACATTGGAGCGTGGTTGATCGGGTTTGGCGGATCGACGAGTACTAAGCCAGTCACCCGAACGTCAGTTGCCTTGCTGTCAACGAGCTTTTGTATCTGTAAGGCAGTCTCATAAGCGGCCACCGAGCCAAACGACCATCCTAATGTTTCTTTCAGCAACGAACTTGGATCAGCGTGTAGAAAATTTACCTCCAATGAGGACCGGACCTGACTTCACGCTTGAAGTAATGAACTTCGCGTAAACTGTTGCGAGTTCGGACAAATCGTTCCAAGGTGCCGAGGAGATGAAGTTGGGGTTGTGTATCGTCCATAACGCTCGGTCTAAAGGAAGCATTCGAGAGTAATACGAGGATAGTCCGCTCCCGTCGTGAATAAGGAGGAGAGGAGGCCTGGAGGTGGAAGGGTTCTGGACGAGTGTGGGATTAGATGAGAGGCGAAGCGTCTCTATAACCTTCTGATCCAAGCCGGCGGGGACGACCGCGCTGGGAGCTGTTGTAGAGAAACTGCTCCGGATTGCCCCTAATGTGGTGTAATCGATGAAGAAAGTGTCGGGTAAAGACAAGTCGTGTTTGAATTGAAGTTCGTGTAACAGCTCAATGGAAGCAAGGGAATCGAGGCCGAGGAGATCGAATGGAGTATCGTCTTTGATCTCGCGGGAGGGCATGTTGAGTACCGCTCCAAGGGCATCTCGTATGGTTTCCGTTGGGTTTATCGGGCTAGTAGTTGTAGGTGTGGTAAGCTCAAGCTGATGATTCAATTCGTGAGTTGATTCCGTCTCCATAGAAAGGGGAGTTGGAGGATATAGGTGGCTTTCAGAAGCTGTCGACACGGGAGAATGGGGGAAGATTATTGGTGTTTGGAACCTTTCGGCCAGGTCACGAACAGTAAGACAGGCGGACAGGTCGCTCGGATCGATAGTCAGCTCAGGAAATGCTTCGTGGAGCTTCTCAACCAATTCGATCGACATGAGTGAGTCAACGCCTAACGATTCGAGACTGGAAACAAGGTCAATACTTGCGACTTCCATACCGACTGTGTCTGCAAGAATTGTGAGCACAGCATTGAATTGGCTGGAGTTTCGTTCGGGATAACTGGGCTGAAGGCTGATCGCCTCTTGTTGGAGCTTGAATGGAGCCTTGAAAGAAGGAAGGCGACTGGTAGGTTGGACAGTGGAGGAAAGGGAAGTGGGAGCTTGTTGCCTCGACCCGGAAAGAGCTAGACTGCGTTTCAAAACGTCGAGTCGGATCCGTTTGAACGTGATACCGGTGGAATGGAGAAGAATTCGATCTGGTTCACCGGCTGGATGTGCCCATACCTCGGACGCTACACTCCCTCGATCGTATGACCAGACGTTCCGACAATGGACGGTGTATGTCGCAGAGACATTCATCAGGTCATGGAGGGCCTTCAAAGTACCGACCTCGTGGCAGATGTATCCATCGTTCTCCTCGCCGTGCATGTTCACGACAAAACCAGAGATGTGAAGAATAGAGTCCATGAATATGGGGTTAAGCACGAATTTCCCGTGCGAAGAAGTGGAGGGTAGGGTTACCTGTGCAATAGCCTCTTTTCCGTCAAGAGTAGCAGTGACGTACTCCATGGATTGGTAGTCGACGCCGTATTTGACAACGCGAGGGAAGATGACCTCGTAAGCCGTGCGGGTGTGGATGGTATCAGCCTGAGTGAGGCTATCCGACAACAGCGAAGACCGTCGCTTCAGCTCGTTGAACTTCGAAGACGTCCTGCTGTTGTTACGAATTCTATATTCTCCTCGCGCAAAGACATTGGGTTGAGCAAAAGATGAAAAGCCAGAGCAAATAGAGAACGAGCCGTATTCGTCATCATCGATGGTAATGGAAATCTTTAAGACGCATGGAGTGTTGGGGTCGTACAAGAGAGGCTTTATGAACTCGTTTCTGCGAAGCAAGATGCTCCGAGTCGACGTTAGGAAACCCTGATGCTGGACAGTGAGCTTAATGGCAGAAAGAGCGGCCTCCAGATGGGCTGACGCTGGGCACAGGAAAACTCCGCCAACGCTATGCCCGAGGATGAGCCGTGACAGAGCAGAAAGCGAGGTCTCAAAGATAGAGGTCATCCCGTTACCTGACGTCGGGCGTTGAACCCATGTATCAAGTAAGGTAAAATCGTCGACAGAAGGGACGTCGCTAGGAGTGGCTGGTTTGGAGCCGAGCGCTCCAGAGGAAGGAAAGGAAGGCTCGACGAACGGCACCCAGAACTTCTGTTTGCGGAAGGGATAGGAGGGGAGATGAACACAGGATAACTGAGGGATGTGAGAGAATACTTTGCGCCAATCGACTGGCACGTTGGAGAGATAGATGTCGGCCAGGCTCGTGGTAAGTGTTGTCCAAGGGTCCTGCTTCTTTCTGATCGACGGAAGGAGCTTCATTCCCTGTGGGACAGCAGGGTTAGTCTTCAGGTAGGGAAGAGAAATCGGGTGGGGGCCAATCTCGATGCAAATATCTCCCTCACTGAACCCAATAGACTCCATAATCATCCGGATCCCTTTCTCGAATTGCACAGGCTCTGCACAGTGACGTGAGAAGTAGTCACCTCGGAAGACTGAGTCGTCCCCAGGTAGAACAGTCGCCCCGGACACGTTTGAAGCTACTGGGATAGTTGGAGTGGAAAACTCGAGCTGAGAGGTGAATTCGGTGAGTGGATCGAGGACGGGGAGCATGGCCCTGCTGTGATAGCCAAAAGGAACGTTCAAGAGAGCGCTCTTTGCTGGCCTCAACTGCTCTCGTACTTCCCGTAGTCTGTTGATTGGACCAGAGAGCACACAGTCAGAAGGACTATTGACGCAGGCAACTGAAATGTCTGGGAGGAGTCCAATCGCCTCTCTCGAGCTAGCTACCGCTAACATCCCGCTCGTGTCCCGACGGCACTTCTCAAACATGAATCGTGCTCGGTGGGCCACGACG